GTTTTAGGTGAAAGTTTACAGTGCAAATTAGTTTTTCATTCAACAAATCTAAACACAAATTATTTTGTGACATTAGTTGCAATCCCTGCACTGTGTCAGCACTCTCCCCCTTTCCCTTTCCACTCTGGGTTCTCGGTGTCCATTTATCGAGTTTTTCTGTCCCTTCCTGCCTTCTCGTCATTGCTTTTGGGCAAGTGTTGCCCATTTGGTCTCGTATATTTGATTGAACTAAGAAGCATATTCTTCACGTGTGTTATTGTTTGTTTTATAGGCCTGTCTAATCTTTAGCTGAAAGGTAGACTTCGGGAGTGGCTTCAGTTCTGAGTTGGCAGGGTTTCCGGGGGCCATAGTTTCAGGGCTTCCTCCAGTCACTGTCAGACCAATAAGTCTTGTCTTTGTATCTGGGCCCTTTTGTGAGGAGTGTCTAACAAAAGTGTACCATGAATTCCAATGCAGTTGTTGGGATAGTTTTGCATTAAAAATTTCCTGCAGCATAGTTATTAGACATTGTTCTGGGGAAGTAAAACCAGAAAGCAATGTAGGAACACCTTATGTGAAATATTTCATTCATCTTTTTAAAAAATTAACCAGAAGACAGGAATTGCTTAATTTGGTTGCTCTAATAGTTCCTGCTTCTCATTCCAAGGATCTGGAGGTTGAGCTATTTCTTCCCAAAAGGGAATACCTGTTCAGAACAAACCTCAAGGTGATTCCTGCTTACATAGGGAACTTGCTGACAGATGACAGTGTTCTGCTTTTAAAGCAAGGAAAATTTGTGGGCCTGGGGATGATGGAGAGGGGCTGGGTTTCTTTGACTGAAAGACACAACCTCTTCCCTTTGGTAAGTGTCCAAATACCTGTTCAGTATCTTTGCCACCCATTGGAGGGGGTGGCGGACAGTGTATGTGAAGGTCTGTGGCAGTGGGGTGGTCTCTGGTGGTTCAGAGTGGCTGGAGAGCAGGCCTAAGGCGCTATGGTAAGAGGCAAAGCTGGAGAGAAGTGGGCAAGACCCTTGTTTGAAAGGTCATGGAGTCAGGTTAGAGTTTGGATTTTTATCATGAGGGAAACGGGAAGACACTGAAAGGTTTTAAGCAAAGGACTACTATGATCAGTTTTATAATCATTTTTACCAATAGTTCAGTAGCTGAGCCAGGGCGTGATCCCTACAATAATTTCCATCAGCACCCTCAAGGAAGCATATACTCTAAGTTAGAAACATGTGCCTGTTATATAACCACAGACAAATAGGAATGTTGTTGTTGTTAGGTACCGTCGAGTCAGTCCCAACTCATAGTGCCCCTGTGTACAACAGAACAAAACACTGCCCGGTCCTGTGTCATCCTCACAATTGTTATTATGCTTGAGCCCATTGTTGCAGCCACTGTGTCAATCCATCTCCTTGTGGGTCTTCCTGTTTTTCGCTGACCCCTCTACCTTACCAAGCATGATGTCCTTCTCCAGAAACTGGTCCCTCCGGATAACATGTCCAAAGTACATGAGACAAAGTCTCACCATTCTTACTTCTAAGGAGCATTCTGGCTGTACTTCTTCCAAGACAGAGTTGGTCCTTCTTCTGGCAGTCCACAGTATATCCAATATTCTTCGCCAACACCATAATTCAAAGGCATCAATTCTTCTTCGGTCTTCCTTATTCATTGTCCAGCTTTTGCATTCATATAAGGCAATTAAAAATACCATAGCTTGGGTAAGGCACACCTTAGTCCTCAAAGTGACATCTTTGCTTTTTAATACTTTAAAGAGGTCTTTTGCTGTAGATTTGCCTAATGCAATGCGCAAGCCACCACAGTACAACAAACTGACGGAAGAGTGGTAGAAATAATAGCTAATACTTATTGAAGCTTTCTGTGTGCCAGGCACTACTCTAAGTATTTTTTTTTTTAATGTGTTAACTCATTTAATCTTCATAAGGAGGAAAGGAAACCCACTGTCACACAAAAAGTAAGTAGTGGTACTGGGATTTGAAACTACACAGTCTGGTTCCCGAAGCCATGCTTGTAATCACACATTGTATTGCTTCCTGTGATCACCCCAGACCTCACTTTCATCTAGGTTGCTGCCTGTAGGCCCCTCTTATATAGAAATTTTGAGTCACCACTGATTCTGGGAAAGTGAAGAGTAGATTGGAGAGGTCTGGACTGGAGGTGGGGATAACTGTTAGGAGAGTGTTGCAAAATGCTGGAGAGATATGGTGGTGACCCGAGGCAGGAGACAAAAAGAATGGAGGTATCTGAGAGAAATTAAGGAGGTAATCAAGAGGACTTAGTGATTCAGGCAACTGAGAAAATACATGTCAAACACTTAGCACCAAGCCTTGTACATGGTATTTTTAATGTACAAAAATACTATGATATTTTTATTATTATCAGTTGGATTATTCTCCATTAAGTCATAACTTTTAATAATGAACTTATAAAAAATAGCTACAGGTAAACTTTATTTATAGTAAAAAGTAATATATGAATAGTTCTTTATGGATTATGCCACATTCATTTTCTAATTTAATCCGAAAACAACTCTTTATGGCAGGTAAAGCAGGAATTACTTATTCCCATTTTACAGATTAAAAAAAAGTGAGTCTCAGAGAAGTGAAGTAATTTACCCAAGATAAGTGAAAACCGTGGGTCACAAACGCAAGCTAGTCTGCTGTATGGCACCGCAGTCAAACAGCCAGACTGTGCCTCTTCCTATCTCACTGTCCTTATACACTTGGACCGGTAAGAACTGAGGCTGCACCAAGGTGTGTACAAAAAGGGTATATTCATTTCCTAGGGCTGCTGGAACAAAGTACCACAAACTGAGTGGCTTTTATGAACAGAAATTTACTATCTCACAGTTCTGGAGGCTAGAAGTCTGAAATCAGGGTGTCAGCTGTGTTGATTCCTTCTAAGAGCTCTGAGGGAGAATGTGTTTCATGCCTCTCTCCTAGATTTGGTGACAGCTGGAAATCCTTGGCACCCCTTGGCTTGCAGCTGCAGCATCACTCCAATTCTACCTCCATCTTTACATGGCTGTCTTCCCGCTGTGTCTCTTCTCTTCTTTTTATAAGGATATTACTCATATTGGATTAGGACCCACCCTCCTCCAGTATAACCTCATGTTAACTGATAACATCTTCAAGACCCTTTTTCCAAACAAGGTCACATTCACAGCTAACAGGGGTTAGGACTTCAACATATCTTTTTGGGAAACACAATTCAGTTCATAACAGAGAGGAAGGGGGTCAAATGTGGTCTCCTGGAATCAGTTTAGTAGGTGCTCTGTTATTGTTAAAGGAGTCCCTGGGAGGTAAAAACAATTCATGTGCTTGGCTGCTAACTGAAGGTGGCAATTCGAGTCCACCCATAGGTACTTTGGAAGGAAGTCCTGGTGATCTATTTCTGAAAAATCAGCCATTAAAAACTCTATGGAGCACAGTGCTACTTTGACACACATGGGGTCGCCATGAGTTGAAATTGACTCCATGGCAACTGGTTGGTTCTATCGTTAAAAGCTTTATTTGCCATCTCTATGGCTATACCTCATGAGGGCTTGTCCTCCAGGGAAACTACTTACTCAAATTGCTTCTTGAGTCTGTTGTTTATCTCTGGTGGGCCCATCCCTGAACCAAGGAGAGTTGGGTACAATGAGACCATTCAAGGCAGGAAATAAAGTGCCCATGCTTCCTTTTTCTCTCTATAGCATCATTCTTTGCCTCCTTGTGCCTTTCTTTTGTCCTGCCTATTGAGTAACATCAGTGTGGGTGTGGAAAATGTGTGAATTGCCAGGAATGAGAAAGTGTGACTGAGGACACCTGCCCGATGATGACGCACCAGGGTGGGCAGAATAGGCAAGCTGCTCAGGAATCACTTTGCCAACACAAAGGCTCTGACCTGCCCCTCTTGCTCTGCCTGAGCCACCCTCACCAGCTAAAGCTGGTATCTCCTCATGGATCATGGGTTCCACCAGGCAGAGAGAAGGGACACACCCCATCTGTCATCCCTCATGCTTGGAAGGCAGTGAAAGGTAGTAGTCAAGTGCAGATTCTGGAGACAGATCTAATCCCAGCTCTGCCACTTACCAACTGTGTGATTTTGGGGAAGTTACTTAACCTCCCTGTGTCGCTTCCTTTCCTGAAAAGTGGAGATGATAAATCTGTTTACCTCATAAAGTTATTGAAAGGATAAATAATACAATCCATAAATGGTGCTTAGAATACCATGTCTGGCATGTAATTCTAGCACTCAGTAAAAGTAAGCAACTATTTCTTACGTATTTATTTTATTCCTCAAATGTCACTTTGTTAATTTGTTAATTAAAAACTGGCAGTATAGTTATCAAAAAGTTATCCATGATTGTGATTCGGTGATGGAATTACAGGTGATTTCATTGTCCTATATCTGCTTATCTGTATTTTCTAAATTTTCTATGATAAACACGCATTACTTTTCAAATAAGAGAAAACAAACTCCCACTGAAAACCTCTGGGGTGCAGTAGACTAGGTGTGAGTGGGTATAGAATGAAGAAGAGGTGACCATTGATTGTACTAGAGTTTAATGTCTATTGAGGAAGACAGGACTGGTAGACAAATGATACAAGAGGGATGGACAGTAATGCTCAAGGTGGGCTCAGTATGGAACCAGTCCCCCCTCACCCCGCCACCTCCTAAGTGGTACCTGGTATTGTAATGTCATCACAAATCTTGCCCCAACAGTCTTTGTGTATAGTCTTCCTTGATCTGGAAATAGGAAAGTAAGGCAACACACAGTCGGCAGAGTCGGCCACTCCTTTAATCTATCCCAACGCCCCAGAGGTATGGGGATGGAAGAGCTGAAATTCCTTTCTAAGGCACCTATTTTGGGAAGGGGCATATGTTGAAGAAAATGTCGAGATACCTTACCTAGCACCTCTTACATGTGACAAATATGTACCCAGGATTTAAAGCAGTGTGTCAGATGGAGTAAAGAAGTAATTTCCTGTTTCTCTATCTCTCTTTCCACAGCATTATTAGCACCATAATTATTCTGGCTGGAGCGATAGCACTCATCATCGGCTTTGGTATTTCAGGTATGTGATTTCTTGCATTACCATGATCCATTCACCCTTCACCATTACACTTTCAGTTCCTCAGTGTGGTAGCATGGAAAGAGCACAGGGCTTGGAGCCAGAAAACTTCAGAGTAGAGCATTGATTCTTCCACTGATTGTGTCCTCTTCACATTATTCATTTATCTCCCTGGGCCTCAGTTTCCTCATTTACAGAATGGGAAAACAAAGCCCACATCACAGGTAGTTGAGAGAACCAAACGCGATGTTTATCAGAGTGTTCTATATACCAGTAAGTGCTGAAGATGCCACTCTGGGATTCTGTGTAAAGTGCCAGGACTGAGCCACTCTATCAATGGTTGACCTGGGTAAGTGATTTCTTTGCAGTGAAGCTGCATATGAAGTCTTAAAAATATATAGTCTTTGTACACAGGGGCCTTATGTAGAGAGAAAACTGGTCATGACTACTGAACCATGTAGGAAACAGATGCCATCATGGCATGGATGGTTAATTTCTGAATGCAGCTAACTGATGTCAGTTGCCAGAACAGTCTTCTCTTTCCGCTTCTGTGTAGGTCATTTCTCTCAAGCATCTATTCTAGATGCCACTTTCATTAAGACACTGAATTAGGCCAGCAGCTGTCTTCTCCGAGGCAAGCTGCTTGCTCTATTTCCCTTAAACAGCCTGACCCAGGCTGACACATTCATTTTAACTTAGTCTCTGATGAAAGCTCACTTCATAACTATAGTTTTTATAATTTCAGAACTCAAGAAGCTACCTTTTCTGTCTCTTTCTTCCAGTGTGGGTGTACTATCATTAAATGGTGGTCACAAGGCCTAAAGTAAGAAAATTAGCTGTAGGTGTGTGCCTAGAAAAGAGATTAACATCCTTCTCCCACTTTATTTTATTATCAAAAATATGTATTTTGTCCATTTTTCTATTGGTCATCTGTCTTTTTCTTTTTGATTTGTAGGAATTCTTTTTACTTTTGGATGTGAGTTGGTTACATGTATTGCAAAATATCTTCTA